GAGTGTCTGGGACCCAGCGTGGCCCCAGCCGGCCCAAGTTGCTAACCTAGCAACGAGCGCTTATCCCCTTTCTCTTCCAAACTTGCACAGAGACTGGCCTGTCAGCTCTGCCCCCAAACCCAGCGCAGCCACCTTCCTCAGAATGGGTGGTAAGGGACTGGCATCCACCAGAGTAGGCGGCTGCTTGTGCCTGGGGGTATGTTTACACAACAAAGTTATTTCGAAATAACATCCCTTATTTCGAAATAATGTTCCTGGCAGTACACAGCCAAACTGCTATTTTGAAATAAATTCAAACTAGCGGAGCACTTATTTTGAAATTGGTAACCCTCATTCTACAAGGCACAATGCAAAATTTCAAATAGCTATTTTGAAATAAGTGCTGTGTAGACACTTATTTCAAAATAGACGGTCTCCAGACTTCCCAGAGTGCCTTGATAGCCACTCCAGCCTCAACCAAGAACACTCCACTCCCTCCCCCATCCCTGGAGCCCTTAAAGGGGTAGACTCTGGCCACAGTGCCTGTGCCAGCTCCAAGCCGGCCAGCCCAGAGCCAGCAGTCACTGACCCTGACCCAGTGGCCCCAAAACAGTAGCCAACAAGCCACGGGCAGCCAGCCCTCCACTGCTCCCAGGGAGCAGTCTGCCAGCTTCCAGGAGCCTGCCAGGGCCTGGAGGAAGCGGATGCCTTCCTGGTCCAGGGTGGAGATCATGGACCTTACTCAGGTTTGGAGAGGATGCCCCCCAACATCCATGATTTCCGCATTAGACAAAGGAACGTGGCCATCTATGGCAGGATAGCTGTCATCCTGGCCACCAAAAGCCACATGCGAACCCAGGATCAGATTTGCATGGCAATCAAGTTGGTCCGACGAGACACCCCCAACCCTGAGCTTCCCCTCCTCCTTTTTCCCCTTGATTCCCCCTTCCAGCTCCCTCCTCCCAGGTTTCCCCCTCCCCTCTCTCACCCTCTCTTCTCCCCTCTCCTGCCTCCTTTCCCCAGTCTCACCAGAGTTTCATTCCCTCCCCCCAGTTTTGTTAAATAAAGAGAGTTTGTGTTCATGAAAATACGTGTATTTTATTTTACATCAGAAGGGGGGGGGTTAGGGAGGCGTAAGTGGAAGGATGTGAGGGAGAAATGAGGCACAAGCCCACAGTAGGGCGGACCAGGGAGGCTCTTAGTGCTCCTCAGGGTGGAAGCTCTCCCTCAGGGCCTCCTGGATACTGACAGCCCCCTGATGGACCTCCCGGATGGCAGCCTGCAGAAAGTGCAGCCAGGCTCGCAGCAATGCATCCAAGAGAAGCACCAGAGTGCCCAGGGGCAGCTCTGGCTCCATGTTGCAGAGTGTTGTGGTGTCCCCAGTGAAGGCAACCAGAACACGCAGAGACAAAATGCTTTGCTTCCCTCATCTAGGTAGACAAGCAATCAGGGAAACCTGAGAACTAGCTGTCCGGGGGTGGGGGGAGTCCCTTTAAGCACAGACCTCAGATAACCTCAGGCAGCAGCCCCACACAGTTAGTCCTGACCTGGTGCCCTGCCGGAACTGGTTCTGGCCAACCTTGAATGTGATTCAGAGTCCACTCTGTGGACTCGCTATTTCAAAATAACAAAATGCTATTTCTAAATGCATTTTGTGTGTAGACACGTTATTTCGAAATAAGCTATTTCGAAATAACACTGTAGTGTAGACATACCCTTGTTTAGATAGGATCTTCCAGCAGCCATCCCCCCAGCTCCATGCTCTGTACTCTCCAGACTGGGAAAGGAGACAGAGAATGGATCCCTGTAATGGATTTGGATGGGCAGGTTAAAATCCCCAGTTGAACTGACTTACTTTTAGGGATTGTGATAGAAATGTAGCCGTGTTAGTCTGGGGTAGCTGAAGCAAAATACAGGACAATGTAGCACTTTAAAGACTAACAAGATGGTTTATTAGATGATGAGCTTTCGTGGGCCAGACCCACTTCCTCAGATCAAATAGTGGAAGAAAATAGTCACTACCATATATACCAAAGGATACAGTTAAAAAAATGAACACATATGAAAAGGACAAATCACATTTTAGAACAGGAGGGGGATGCAGCGGGGGGGGGGGGAGGAAGGAAGGTAAGTGTCTGTGAATTGACAATATTAGAGGTGGGGAGAGTGGGATGTTTGTGAGTTAATGGTATTAGAGGTGATAATTGGGAAAGCTATCTTGATAATGTGTAAGATAGTTCAAGTGTTTGTTCAATCCTCTTTGGAGAGTGTCGAATTTTAACACCACCAGAAGCATCTTCAGCTCAGTCCCCTCCCAAACTTTGGAAGTTGTCCAATCGTCACAAGCCACTAGGGTGAGTCTACTTTGAGAATCTTTTTTCTCTACCCACAAACCTGAGGCTATGCCTAGACTACATAGTTCTTCTGGAAAAAGATACCGTATATTCCGGCGTACAAGACGACCTCTGAAGTTAAAAAACATCCCCCAAAAATCGGGGGTCGTCTTGTACGCCGGATGCCCCGCTGCCGGAGCCCCTCCACGGCTTTGAAAGCCTCGGGGGAAGCCGACGGCGGGGCATCCCAGGCGCGCATGGGCTGCCCCCCCGGCCGGGGCCCCCCCCCGGCC